GCCCGCACACGGCCCCCGGGGGCGCCCACGCCCTGCCCCGCTCCGCCGCGGCTTGCGCTGGGGGCGTGCGGGCCCCTCAGCCCGGCTGCCGACTCGGAATCCGACGGAGCCCCCTTCCCCCCCAGGCCTCCCCTGGGGGCAGGAGGCGAAAGGAGGGGCCCCGAAGGACCGGCGGGTTGAAGAACAAAATGACTTTCCCCCCGGCTCCCCGCTGCCAGGCCCTGGGCTGCGAACAGCACCTGCGCCCCGGCCTCTGAGGGAGACGGGCCTGTGCGAGGGGCGCTGAGAAAGGGGGTCTCCTAAGTGACCGCCCCCCACAGTAAGGCCAGGGCAGCTCGGTTCAGTGTCCTTTCTCCCCGCTGCTGCGCCCGGGCCCATGCGAAGGTACCGCCCCTGCAGGACTCGGACCCGTCCCCCCCGCCGGGTCCCGCGTCTCCCCGCGCCTTGCGGGCATGCGGCACCTCACACAGCCGAGCCCCATTGGGGTCCGCGGCACTCGTTTGTCTGCACGGGGGCAGAGCGGCAGGGATGCATGCTGGCCCCTGCTACTCGCTCTTCTCTGCAAGGAAGAGCCGAGGGAAAGCTTGAAGGACTCAGCCCTAAGGGTTAGGAATGAACAACTGCGAGGGCTCTGGGCTGAAGCACGGTCTTTTCTTCCCTTGAAACAAAAGGCCAACCCATCTTCCCCCTCCCAGCTCAAATTGTGGTTAAAGCTGGAGGGACAGACTCGGGCTGGAGCCTGCAAAGCAACTAAAGGAATCACTAACTAGGCTCCATCGGGCTTGTGGTTGTGCCTGCAAAGCACTAAAATTAGCAGATTAGAATCGGCCAGAACAATGGTCTTCATGCAGAAGGTTTTAGTGCCCCCGGCCCAACCCCTCCTTGATCCTGGGGGAGAAAAGGATGGGAGAGACACTACTTGCCTGCAGGAACCGGCTTTCCTAAGACTTCAGTGGACATGCCTAGGGAAAGGAAGGACTGGTGTGAATGTACCTTCACGTGCTATAGACCTGGGAACACACAGATATGGATGTTAGAGAGACACAGACAGCCCTATATGATGTCTGCTGTCCCCTTAAAATATTCTAGCATGTACTAGCATATACCATAGTCCTCTCCCCATTTTCTCCAGTCGAAGAAAAAAAAACCCTTTTGTGTTTTGGGTAAATCACTTGGTTCCTTTAGGATCATTTGCTTCTGAAAGCACCAGCAGGCATGCCGAGAGAGCAGCTTCCTCCAAGTACCCTTTGCCTTCTCTTTGTAGTTAGCTGCTGAATCTCTTTTCCTGCCAACCTCCCCCAAGCCTGCTCAGCAGGAGTTTTATTGTTGATTTTAACAGGAGCTGGTTGACACACCTCTTGCTGTGGGGTGCATATGGGTAGATGGGGTTAGAAAAGTGAAAGAAATTCACTTTTTTCTTCTTTAGACTCAGGGCATACTGTCTCACATCAAACCTGCCCCCCCCCCCAACACTTCCCTTCCCAACTCACACTTAAGCTGGATGTTTTGACCTGAGAAGAGAGCCCTTTGTCTCCCGTACTGTGGGCTATGGAGTAGAAATCCCAGTGGCACGTGTGTATCATACTTACTGCTATGACAGTGTATTAGGACTTTAAGTTTGAAGGGTCAGGTGGCAAGATTTTGGGCCCTAGGACCTCAGAGCATCTGCTTTACCCATCCTTCTGCAAGATCATCCTGGAGACTCTAGATGCCCCAGGATAAAACACCAGGGCACAACACAAACAAATAAAGCACCTCGGGCACATCTTCCTCAGTCAGAGCCTTCACAGGTGGTAGCCCAAAAGCTTCCCCTTCTCTTCCCTACAAGCCCCCTCCACCCTGCTCTTCAAATTCATCCGAAAAGAAAATGAAAAATCATAGCTGCCTCTCCCAGTTAAAAATGTTCCTAGTGAGGCTGGATTCTGCCAGGATCTCTCTGGAAGGACATATACATTACTGTATCCCCGCCCCAAAATAGGAAAACGCCTGCTAGGGATGAGGATTAGCAACTATGTTATATTCTGACAGGTCAGACTACTGCAATGATCTCATGTAATGTTACTTAGCAGCTCTGTGCCTCAGTTTCCCCATCTTTACGATGCAAATAACAATGCCTCTTCTACCAGTGATTTGTGAAGGATATTTAGATAATATTTGTATAGTGCTTTGGAAATGAAAAGCTCTCTGTGCTAAGTGCTGCTGTTATTGTTAGTGTTATTATTATTAACATATTGGGAGTCCTGAATCCCCTGGGGGTTATCGTTGACACTGCTGTTTAGGACTGAGGTTCCTTATTGCTCCAAACAGCTGAGTTTGATTTAGGGAGCTGCAGTTTTATATTATGAGGTGAAATCATTATAAATACAATTGGCTGCATTTACTGCTGCACTAAAGTAGACAGAAGCAATTACCAGCACAATATTACAATCTTCACTTCATCCCACAGCTGATTCCACACTGGCATAAAAGCTTAAAGAGCCACTGCTGCTTGCTGAAGAGTGATTTTCTTCCCGCTGTTCCATCATCATGGTGCCAGCTGGGTGGATCTGCAATGGTGCCCTCTGCCAGCAAAGCAAGGCTATGGACTGGGGTGATTCCATAGCTCCCGACTGCAGTTCTTTGTGCAGTGAGTTTGGCATCTTCTCCTTAGAACATCCCAAAAGGCACATCCTGCAGCCTCTCCCTGGGGCCCCTTTGCCATACACCTGAAGCTGGCCTCTGTGGCGGTGCTAACTTGATGAAAGGGACAGAACCCTGCTGATGAAAAAAACCGAAGTAGAAAATATCCCCTGCAGATTTTTAAGCTGACCAGTGTAGACAAAAATTGAAAAGATCCATTAGATCATTAATTCCATACCCTTTGTGAAAGCAGAGCATTACTCCACTCCCATAAAAGAGAACATATTGACCGATTCAGTACTGGGTACTGACCCTGCTTTCCTAGCCACAGACTGGAGTGCCCAGTTCTGAGACCTTCCAAAAAAAAATCATGCCAAAGAAAGCACACAGGAAATCAGAGAAACATACAAGGCAGCAGGCAAATGCATTTGTGTTGACATAGCATATTAGTAAAAAAACCAAACAAACAACAAAAAACCCATAGTTTCCCCCAGAGTTAGATGAGAGTCCTTATAAAATCCTTTATTAGCCCCTGCAGAAGACTGCAATACTGATTTGATCTGGAACAGGATACTGCTGGTCACTAAGCAACCCTGGAAAAATCCAGCAAAAGACATAAAAAAGGGAGATGCTGCTGAGATTCAGCTTGTAATAACCAAATACAATATGTCCCCATTCCCTTTGTACTGAATTGCCTTACAACTCCCATAACCAGCTATTTGGACAACTGCTATTAGGCTCCAAATAAAGACGATGCTGTACAGACTGTTGCCGTTCAAGACAATGTCTAAATGGAGAATCTAAAGTGCGGCCTCCAATATTAAAGCACCCTTCTGACTTCTCCAAGGCTCAGGCCTAGATAGATATGGAGTTTGGGTTCAAGGCCACTTATAACCCTTACAGCAGCAACAGCCCTCTGCACACCTGATGGTTGGGAAAGAGCCAACCCAAGTCCAAGGCCTGTGTAAAGGGCCTGGGAAGGCTGGGGACTGAAGGTGACAAACTACTGTTCTGGCACTATGGGAGGTGAAGCTGGCATTAGTATGGACAAAGAGTGGAGCCATGCTGGTGGAGCCCTGTGGTCTGGAAACATCAGAGTTGGGGAAGCATGTGGCATAACTAGAGAGAGTGTAGCCTTGGATCATGAGTCTAATCTCTCTGCATCCACCTGTTGTTAAAGACCTGCCAGAGTGCTTCCTGGGAAAGCGCAGAACAAAACTCAGCCCAGAGAGAACTCTACTGCTAGCTCTTGGACTGTCTTTCCCCCATGTTTTACTGTCTGGAGGTTGTTTTCCTACTGCGGGGAATGGAGAGACCCAGTCCGTCCTTTATCTTTCACCCATTTGTTCGTTACATTACTAGGCACAACTGCAGCATTTGCACTGCAGGGGGTGAGCACTTTCATCACCAGGATCTCTACAGTCAGAACCGGAGCATGTTCCATGCTCCCAACCCTGGGGAATGCATGAAGGTGAGAGCCAGGTGGAAGAGGTACACCTGTCCCAGACTCTGAGTGGAGCATACTGTAACAACCTTCATAGCCTTCAAACACAATGCCCTCTTTGGCTTTGCAGTCCCTGAGCTGCACACAAGTATATTCACTGCTGGCAGCTGGGGAAAGGAAAGCAGAACAAAACTATCACTGCTAAATGGCTGTCATGCGCCGTGCCATTTCCAGCAGATACCAACACAGTCCAGGGCTGTAGGGAGGGCATGGGTGGCCCATGTCACAGGGGAAGAGGTAGTTTAGGCCTGCTCTATTCACTTTCCTCTGCAGTGTAACCTCAGCTCCTGGGACTGCTGAAAGAGGAAGACAACAGCCCCTCCCACACCAGTAGGTGGTTGGAGAATACCAAGAATCCTGCTGCTAACAGGGATTGAAACAGGTGCTGAGGGCCTGCCTCAAGGGAGTTGGGAGAACCACGGGTGGCAAGGGGAGGGTTCCACCCCTTCCCTAGGAGCCTGCCATGAAGCAGCAGCCAAGCCTGGGGTGAAAGGGCTGGGGAGGCAAGAGGAAGGAGAGTACCTAAAACCTGTCACTGCATGTGTAGCAGATACCCGTTCTCCCTGCCACCACAAAGGTAGAGCTGGTATATAGACATGAGTGCTTCTGAGAAAGTGAGGCTCTGACAGAGGCCAGGCACTCAGAAAGGCCAGAGAGTTTACTACAAACCAGGCTCCCACCCCCAAAATGTGGCCTCTGAGGCCCCCAAACTGTATTCAGAATAAAAAAAGAAAATAAAGGAAACCAAGAGCATAAAAATATCTGTGAGGCTTCAATTCACTCTACAGGGTTCCAAAGAGAGGGGCCGCCGCCTCCTATGGTACAATATAGAGAGAGTTATACAGAGCTTCAATATAGAGATCTTTCTATATATATATTTATAGGTATGTATATATTTATAGTGCAGTGCATTTAAAACAGCCGCGCTTGCTTCTTCAGCTCATTCCTCTTCCACAGGGCCAGGCGGTCAAACTCCGCAATGGTCATGCCGA